CATGAGGTGCAAAAGACCCTCCATGAGGGTCGCTGCTAGGTGTCCTCCTAAGGGCCACTACCATCTGCATGTTTCTGTTGTGTTTGTTCACCTGCTGGGCTGAATACCTCTTAAGGAGTTTTTTTATTGGCTGTACTAAGTCTAGAGGAAAGTTGTTGTCCCATTTACAGGGTCAAGTTCAAATGGAAGGCGGTAAAATTTATGATGGGATCCAACTGAAACTGAAAAGTTGATGGAAAACATCCTTTTCAAATTGTAGCACCAACAACATATTGCAGTTATTACTGGTTATTCACACTTGCTCGTTTTAGAAGGCTTGGGTTTACTCTTGAGACTCTTCAACTTAAAGTCTTGGCTCCAAGGGAATTGGGTGGTGCCTGCCTATGCTGCCACTGATGAAACAGCAGCTGCAGAAGAAATGAGCTGAGTCTCTAAATACAAGTACACGGAATGGGCACAGTGACTTGCCACATGACTGGGTAGTAGAAGAAAGATAGCCTGTAGCTGAGGCCAACCCACACAGCATCCTTCCATCCATGGCAGGAACACTAGAGGAAAAAGCAGTTGCCTCCCATTTGTAAAAGTGTGTGATCCTAGCCAGAGAAGTCTCAATGACTGTGACATGTGTAGGGAACAGAGTAAGGAGAAATAGCCAAGAAAAACTAGAAGTATGCAGACTTTACACACTTGGGTTTTTTCAGGTCACGAAGGGTCAACACTATTTCCAAACAGTACTCAGTGAATTCCCAAGTAAGAAAAGGGTCGCAAGAGAAGACATCGCATTGGCCAAGTTGGAAACAGTGAACAGTTCCTATTTTCCCTGTGACTGGCCCTAAAGGGGAGACTTTCTGAAAGGTGAGGGTGTCTGTGACTGTTGATGTCTTCACAACTTACTAGAATCCACTCTCAGCCTACAGACAGGTGATGTTAAGGTCACTACTTCTGTTTTGCAGAAGGCCCTAAAGTCTGGCATTCAAAGGGAATGGAGAGATACACATCACAGCTGTGCCCCAAACCATCGTTGTTTGTTAGGCAGGATGAACATCCTTTCAGTAACACAAATGGCCACCTCAGGATGAGTTGCAGAAATTAGGTATTGGAGTCATTTATGGTAGAGCCTAGAGACTGGATTTAGAGTTGAGCATTAGCCCCCCAAAACATGGGTAATACATACATTTGGTGGGCACAGTGAAAGAGAAGCTTTCCTTTGGGCAAGGAGACTCTGCCCATCCTCTCTGGTAGTGTGGGGTATCAGACAACCTATTCTGTATTACTGTGCCGCAGTTAGTGTTCTCTGGACATGGATGGCACTTTTGGTTTTCTGTCCCTGTGGCCAAGCTTAAGACCATAGTCCTATGCACAACAGTGGGTCTGCTCTCTCATGATTGTTAGCTTGATTCTGGAACATCAATCCCTCCTCCATGAGTTCTAATCTTACTGACCACTGACAGGCTGGACCTCTAAACCAGGCCTGCTCCACTATGCCTCACCTGCATTTTGCTGACTGGTCATCATTCTCTGCAGTCTGACTGAACCCCAATCTCTTCCCCTCCAGCCTTCTTTGCCTTTTTGCTGCTCAAGTTCTCAGTATGGTATTCTGAAGATGCATAGTTCACCAGAAGTCACTATTTTCATCACAAAGGACAGTTTCTTTATGTGCAAATAACACATGTACATGCATCTAGCCTAAGGGTGAATATGACTGGGTGGAAACTCATAACACTATTTCCTGAAGAGTGCGTGGGTAAGGGGACACTGATCCTGAAGAGCAGGAGGAGGCATTTCACAAGGGGGACATTTACACTGGTGTCTTTGCTTGTAGGGTTTGCAATGGTCTGTAATACCTCACTGAGGCTAAGAGGAAGATATAATAGCTTCCCAAATGTATTGGTAAACAGATATTTTTTCAAGTGGTACAACATAGCAAATACCCCAGTAGCTGCAACTATATCTCAAAGTTAGCAGATAGGCAAGTGGAGTAAAGCTGCTTTCTCTGGAAGACAGGCAGAATAGCCAAGGCATCCCTCCAGACTTGGTCAAGGCCACACCTGGGGCCAGGCCACATCCTGTGCAAGTGTGTTTAGTTTGGTCCCAAGTGCTTGGATTGTTTGTCAACATTTACTTTGGGAGACACATGTAAAAATCTCCACGCCTGGCTTCTTCTCAAAAACTGGCCTTAGCAAGTCTGCAATCCCCTCACAGGACAATGGGTGGAAGGATGGAGGTGAGCTGTTTTCCTTAGAGAAACCCCATTCTTTCTTCCACTTCTGGGTGGCTGCCTACCTGGTGAGGCCCCTCAGCCTCACCCTCTACAGCCCTGAGTACTGGAGTTTGGAACTCCTCCTTACACATAGGCACTACTTGTAAGTCACCCTGAAATGTATTGAAAATTATGTATCTGGACATGAACGTGTGATATGCCATGGTGAAATCTGAGTATGACAAATTTGTCAGTTAAGATATTCCTGTAAAAATATCTAAAAATTCAGCTGGGCATAGTGGTGCACACCAGTAATTCCAGCTACTTGGGAAGCAGAGATTAGGAGGATTGAGGTTCAGGGCCAGCCCAGGCAAAAAGACAGTGAAACCCCTATCTTGAAAAATTAAAAGAATAGAAAAAACAACAAAATTATAGTTTTCCGTTTTGTGAAAAATCACAGGGACTCAATCTCTTCTTTCAGGCAAATAACATAGTATCTCAGAAAGGGCCTGGGGGTGGTCAGAAATCATTTCTTACTCATTTGGCTGATGAACTGACTGAAGCCTGATGAAGGAAAGTGATCTTCCATGGAAACCCATGGTGGCCCCATTCCCTAGACTGGTAGGAGTAATGCTGATCACAGATACTGCTTGACAGCTGGGCAACATGAGCTGGGCACATCATAGACTCCCACACCTATGGCAGATGGCTGTCATTTGTTGCACTCTGCATAATCAGAATGTAAGGCTTGGCAAGGTGAAGTGGACTCTTGAAGGCCAAACAACTGAGGTGGTAGAATTCCTCTGTAGATATTTCAGGTGGCACCCTAGAGATGGGGTTGGTCAAACCTTCCCTGCTTCCCTGTTTGGATAAAGCATCAAGTTCTAAAGAACCCAATGATTATCCTGGCTACGACCACAGACAACATTCACTCTTACATCTGGACAGAAAGCAGTGAGATTTTACATCAAGGGTCAATACCAAGAAGACAAACCACGAGTCCTCTGCCCAGTATCTTGGACCCAGTGTTAAAAGGGCCTGATTAGTTTCAGATGTAAAGTTCAAACGTGTACAAGCCCAATGCAACAGAGAACAAACCTGAAGATTACAGTGGAAAGAGACTTTTCTCCACATTAAATGACTAAAAGTGAAATGCCATAATTTCTATCCACTCATAGCTGCAAACAGCATAGGCCAAGCCTGTGTGAAATGGAGGAAGGAAGGGACAAAAGACAGCCTTCAAATTTCCTTTCTGATGAAATTCAAGAAGCTTGGCCTTGAAATTGTGCTTAAGATTGAAGAGTTATATTTAAAAATTACAAGGGAATATGTACAATTACATGGGGGAAGTGCTCATAATAAGCTATTAGGTAAAAGTAATTATAAATGAAATGTGATTACATTAACCAGATGAAGGCCTGTGTGTTTTTATCAACACAATTGGAAGAAAACATGCAAGATATAAGAGCATTCATTCATTCATTTTGGTGATTGGCTTCTGAATATTTTTAAAAATCATTTTACCTTATTTCTATTAATGTTTACAAAATATTATAATGTAATTTGTTCTTAAACTTATCTAAAAAAGTGGAAAAAAATGACAAGCTAAAGAGAATTCTTATTCTACATAAGAATAGAAAAAAGAATCAGGACCATAGTGTTGGTGCACAGATGAAATGAACCAGTGCTGTAAAGAAAGAGCACAAAATAGACAGATGTCCAGCCAGAGGGGAAGAAGGAACAAGGTGAAAAACCCAATTCAATTCTTCACACCAGAAAATAAACCCTGGATAGAGGAGAGCCCTGATGAGAGAGAAGCACTAAAACATTATGGGAAATTCAGACTGTTTCATCCTTTAGGGTAAGGGAAAGATGCTCTTAAACAGGCCAAAAGCATATACATTTGGGAAACAAAGGATACACTCAAACAATTGAAATTAAAAGGCATTATTGTACAGTTAACAAAAAACAAAGTTAAATTCAAGCCACAGACTTAGAGACTCTGTGTGTGAATAACTGACAAAGCAGAAATTCATAAGTAAAAAAGGTAGACTTAAAATTTTTTCAAAAAGGACTAGGTCTACAAAAACGGCAATTCATCAAAAATAAGCTCAAATTATTAATAAACGTACACAAGACAGTCATCCTTACTAATCACAGGATTGCAAATTAACGTTCATGGGAAATGACATGTGACAGCTACAGGATTAACAAAGTTTAAGATGTCTATGATCCCAAACAGGGTCACAGACCACTGGAGGACCTGTGAACTGGACAACCATTTTGGAGAGTAATTTGACAGTATTCCATCAAGTTCAGAATGACATTGATGGCCTAATTCCTCTTGTAGAAAACGCTGTACATGAAAACAGAGACATATGTACATCTTGCTTATTATTTCCAGTCCTGAACTTAAACAACCTAAGTGTCCATTTATAGAAAAATGGACAAACAAATGAATAGACAACACATGATCATCATGGATAAGACTTAAAAACATGCTGTGAGCAGAAAAGTGTGCTAAGAATATGGTACCATTTGTATAAAGTGTCAAAACAAATGAGGCATTATCACATATTACTTATAAACACCAACATGTATATAAACAGCACAAAGGCAAGATCACCAAATTCAGTTGCCAAATCAGGAAGGAGACACTTCCACTTCTGTGGAAGGCACCTAGCACACAGATATTAGTGAACATTAAGTGGATCACCATGACGAAGAACTTCTCCTCAGAAACTGGGATGAAGATGTGGATGATTTCCCCTTTCACCCGTCCCATGGTCCCATGACTCACCTCAGATGTGAATTTCCAGAGCCATCCCTCTCCCATGATGGGCTCTTTTGTGGACCCAGTTCTGGGGTTCCTGCAAGGTCCTGGTCACTGCAGTCCTCCTGGTCTGTGGCCCACTTATCCTTGGACTTCAGGCTGTCATGTTGGGAGTCCAGAGAGACAATGTCCGAGGGGGAGCTCATCACCCCTGAGTCTTCAGTTGTGTCCTCTGAGGCGAAACAGCTGCCCACGGACCCTGTCTCCTCGGCCTCTGGTGGCAGAGGCGGGACTCCATCCACACTGCAGTGACCAGCAGGTCCCAGGGGCAGGCTTACTGGACAAGACATGCAAGGACAGGTCAGCACAAGCTACTCCAGGTCTCACGCTGCCTACCAAGAGCAACAGCCAATTGACTCTTGGGAAATATGGAATTCTAGGTGCTAGAAATAAGGAAAACCCACTTTCTAACATAAGAGCTTCCTCCAACAACATCTTAACTAAGGAGGTGCCCTGTGTATGTGTGATTGAAAGTAAAACTCTCCCTTAAAAACTGGGTATTTGATTAATTAGTCCTTTAAATATGCATACTCTTTAATACTGTGGTCAAATACATTTAAATATTTGAAGGAATGATATAGTGGATGCAACTGTTTTTAGTCTGACCCTTGGTTTAACTGATGTTGTTTTAAAAGGAGTTTCTTTTTTTTGGGGGGGGGTAAAAAAATTAAGAACAATTAGACTTTTTAGAAATAGAAAGAAACAAATAATTATTTGTTTCTAATTACTAATGTGGGAATGCCTGACAAATATTTCATAGCTACATTTGAAATGTGGTCTCAAATGTTAATGGTACTCTTTCTTGGCATTTGGCTCTCTTAATTTTACATGTGACCTAGTAAGTTATGGTGTAAAGAAGAGATGACTTTGGGAGAGAACCTTCAGTAAAATTAAAAAGAATCAGAACAAAAGTATCCATGGCTCAGGTCCTGTGACCCCTGACATGAAACAAAGTCCGTGAGATGCACAGAGCATCATCTTGCCGTCAAAGCCAAGTTCTGCTAATGTTAGAGCTCTCTTATTTAGACATGTTGAGGAATACTACAGTCACTCCGCATGTCTACCCAGCTATTCAGAGACACACTTAAATACACGTAGTGTGAGATCGCTGGGTTTTTCTGCTTGAATTTCTAGGTTCTTTAAAAATTACAGAAAGCTCTATGCATAGATCTGGATGGAGTTCCAAGGACAGGAATATACAACTTCAGCCAATTGTCCACCAGAGTTGTTGATTTACTTAGAAATAGACTGCAAACCTCAAGACACTTTGAGGCATATGACCTAAGCACTGTACATGACAGTCCAGGACATAAGAACTGTCCTGCTACAGTTCCAGTGTACTTTGTTCCAAAATCACTTCTCCCAGAAGCAGTCCTTGGACACCTGACACAAATGCAGGCCTGACAGGGGCAGGTCACACTGTAGTGGTGTCACTGCACACCAAGGTAATGGGGCCTCGTTGTCACTCTCTGTATCACCTGCCTGCCTGGACAGCAGGCAGACTAACAACATGTAATATCCTTTGGGTGTTGGTTTATATGAGATCTTGAACAATAAAATAAACATAAGAACATAAGAACACACATTTAAAAGAATACACACTTCACAATAGAGCTCGAAGAAAGGAACGGGTTGAGGAGGAGTGGTTTAGAGGCACAAATGCACAAGGCAACATACTGAATGAGTGAATGCTTTTCAAATATCCAGCTTCCTTCCCAGCTTTTGCCACAAAACTTATTTCTGTTCTGTTTTGCTTATTATTATTATTTGTTTGTTTTTTTGAAACAGGGCCTGCCTCTGCCTCCCGAGTGGTTAAGATTACAGGCAAGCTCCACTATGCCCAGCTGCAAATATCTTAATTAGAGGGTAACTTAGAGAAGAAACACTGCCTGTGGGTTAATATGCCTCACACCTTTCCTGCCCGCCATTTGGTGATAAGCTGTCACCTCCTTGACTCACTGCAGTCTGTGAATCAGCACAGAGAAATCATTCTATGACCCAATCTGTATTCAGAACTGCTCCACTTCAGCTGTCCTGGCAGCCTGTAGGGTGACAGCTTACTGCCTGCCATTTGCTACACTCTTGCCTAGCCTTTGCCACCATTGTTGAACAAATATGTCAACTAAATCTTCTGTTATGAAAACAGAAAAGAGTGAAAAAAAGCACCCGATTTTCAGATCACAAACACCTGAATTCGAATTCCAACCAACAAGTTTCCTAGCTGAGTCCTGGATGGTGGGTTAACAACACTACCCACAGGGATGCCAGAAGTGCTAATGTCACTGTCAGGTCTCCACTGGCCAGGTGGTTGCCAAGACAGAACAGGCTCTGTGACTGGACCTGTGGACACCAGGTTTCCAGCCTGAGTCTGAGCTCACTGGCAGCTCAGTTTATGAGCGGACAGACACGCCCACAAAGAATGGCCATGCTGTATGGAATATAAACACTTGCTGTACCTCCATAGGCAGAGCAGGACAGGCTGCTCTGAGGGAGAGTTTGCATATAGTAGGTGACACATAAATTGCCCAGTCAGTTCTCTCCCTCTTCTACTCTCCTGCCCTTGCCCTTGTGCTCCCTGTAGCAATCTTCTCAGCTGGAGCTGCATTCACTGCCTGGGGCAGGGGGTTTCCATAGCCCACACAGCTCCTTGAGGCTCAGATGCAACAGTGGTAGAGAGGGGAGCAACCTGCCTCCAACCTTTTTTTAGCCAGTTGTGGCACTGTGAAACTTGTCTGAACTTGTCTTAGATCCCTCAGAAGTTTTGAGACCAAAAAAATTGTAAGACTGAGAGTTAGTTGTCTAAATAAAGCCAACTGCAAAGCCTTAAATGAACCTGGCGAGAAGTCATACATCCAGGGCACATGTGTTTAAACATTTAAAGAATGCATAACACAGAGTGCTATGGCCACAGCTCCCTTCTTGCCCAGACAAGTCCTCTATTTCTCATGGGCATCTTCCCACAGGCCTGTGGCTTGGTCACAGTCATGGTCACGTCACATCTATGCCTGTGCTGTGAGTGGGCAGACAGAGCTGGGCAGACAGGTAAGGAAACCCTCTGAGGCTTTTCTGAGACTCATGAGGGAAGTCACAGGGATTGAAGAAGGGGCAAATGCCCCCCTGGGAGTGATGCCTAACCCATGCTCACACTGTAGGGCAACAGAGCTGCAGCCACCAAGGCACACTGCACCTGCAAGGCTTTGTTGGGGCATGGGGGGGGGCGCGGTGAGGGGGATCAAAGCTGGGTAAGCTACATTCTGGAAAGGTCTCTGGGAGAGCTGTCAGAGAAGCACAGATTTACAGATAGGAACAAATGTTCCCAGGAGGCCCAACCTGGGTTGGCGTCAGTCTCCAAGCAATTTCTGATCACTTCTTCCTACAAAGGCTTTTGTTTGAGTCAGACTCCCCGGGCTGGCTCATCCTGCCCCCATCCTGGCCCCAATTCTCTTTTCTTCTTTCTGCTGGTTCCAACGATTAACCCCATGAACCTTAACATGTTTTGACAATTTCTGAATGAGATAATGGTGCAGAAGACTGTTTTCCTCTCATCAATTCTAAATAGAAACCTGAAACATAGAAGGAAAACTTGGAGCTCCTTGGGCTGTGAAGTGGGTCCTGTGCCCCACATCCCACCCGAACCTCAACTCCCTCCTGCAATGGTTCCAAGAGCTAGAGAGCCTGGGACCTGGTCTGAAATGAGGGGCAGCAGCAGGAGAAGGACTGAGTTAAGAGACCAAACTGAACACTACAGGCCAAGTTCTACTCTCATCTTTGGACACTCCTTTCCTCCATCTGTAAAATAAGTACAAATTCTTTCTGATAAGCTAAAAAAAAAAAATCTCTTCTAAATCTAGAATGTTCTTTGAATTCTCAAATCCGAATGTGGGATGTAAACACTATTTTACAATTGACAGGTCACAACTTAGCAACCTTTTTTTTTTTTTTGTGGTACTGGGGTTTAAACTCAGGGCCTACACCTTAGGTCACACCACCACCTTTTTTGTGATGGGTACTTTTGAGATAGGTTCTCACGAACTATTTGCCCAGGTTGGTTTTGAACTGTGATCCTCCAGATCTCTGCCTCCTGAGTAGCTAGGATGACAGGCATGAGCCACCGGCGCTTGGCACAATTTAGCAATCTTTAGAAGGCACAGTACATTTGCTTTATTCTTTCTGCTGTTTTCTTTCTTCCTTAAGAGAGTCAGTCATTATTTTTAAGTTAATTAATGAGCTGGCAAATTTTTTCTTCTCTTTAAGGTATGAACAACCTATTTTGAACTCAAAAGTTATCACTGCAAGATTTTTTGCTAATGTGAAAACATACTTTGTCTTTAGCAGAAGCCTAATGTAAACACTTGATTGAATTCTGTTCCATGTGGGCAGTCACAAGCCGATGTAAGGACTATTGACCCTTCCATGTCCACTTGAAGTATATAATTCTGATTCAAATACAACAGTCTCTAAATGGGGGCTTTGAGAAATTCTTAGTCGAAGTATAAAAGAAAAAATGCTAAGGCCTACAGCACCTCAAGTTAAACAACCATGTTCAGTTCTCTGCCAGTTCATTTAAATTTGTCTTTTACAAAGCTACCAAAGAAACTTTCAAATGCTAAATATAAATATTTTCCAAGGGCAGACAATACATGACATAAGATTGTTTCAAATTTAGCATGGTGCAAAGGTGATAAACATCCAGTAGAAACTGTAGTTTGAGTTCTGGCCATTGCTGGGGCTGGTACTCTCAATTCTGATGCTCTCTCGTGACGAGGCTGGTACTCTCAATTCTGATGCTCTCTCGTGATGATAGGTGGCAGCAGGCGGCCTCAGCTCACAGGCAGTCACAAGACCAGAAGAGAAATCACCTTCTGAGATTCCAAGCATGTACCACCTCACCCAGCTTGCATCTGTATATTTTTAATGGATTCATTTTTATTGCTATTTTAATAAGTGAAAATTAAAGGTCTTGCATCTTATGATTTCTTAAGATCAATTTCACCAAGTTTATATGGTCCACAGAACAGGTTTTGAAGAAAGAAAATGTACTTCCCTAGGCCACACATCACTCACAGCCAAAAAGCCATACTTGTCCTCCTCTCCACTTACTCCTAATTCTCTGTGTTGTAGGACCTTCAAACAAAGGGAAAAAGGTGCTCCTGATGCAATGATACAAACTAACACAATGCATTTTAGTTATTTTTATATATCCCCCAAATAATTTTGAACCATGCACCCCCTCACATTTTTAATTCATGTCTGAAAATTTCCATCATGAGTAAAACT